AACCACGGAATATAGAATACAATGGAAGTAGCTTGAAACAATATTTCTGCCAGAACCGGTGTCGCCAAACTAATACATTTATAATTTACTCATACTATAAATCGGAAATTACGATTGGTTAGAAAAAAAATGGGCGTAAACGAAATGCAAAAAAAATATCATACGATATGCAACTTTAAAACCAATGTACTATAAATCAAAATAAAAAAGTATGTTTTGGACTACCAAGTACCGCCATTCGTCGCTAGATGGCGTTTAACAATGCCATCTAGCGACGAAAAGTGGTACTTGGTTTGAACTTTAACGTTGTAAGAATAAAGGTGATATTTGAATGGCTTATCACTGGCTCGAATGCGGGTCTCTACTCAGATAGTGATGTAGGATAATTCGATAAAAATAATATCGATAATATGAAAATGTGTTTTAAAAATAATATGAAAAAAAATATTGACTGCTATAGTGTGACAGTATTAAAATAATAAAATTAATATGTCGTTGATAACTTTTTAAACGTAACAAAAAAGGGTAAGTATTTATTTACATGTAAATCAAAAACCATTTTGTTCGTATTTTTTATTAGTTTCTTTTTTCAAAAAATCATTTTTTTTATTTCACATAGGCAATATAAGTAACAACTATTACATAAATTTTTACAAACTTTATATGGATAATGTGATAAATGAGAGGGATGGCGATAAGGATGACGGTGCTGATCTGCTCCGTGAAGTGAAGGTTGCTTCCAATCACGTCGGGGTCACCACTAAAATAATAATAAAAAAATAATCTAAATAAATGTTACATTACACTTGCATCGATATCAATCGATAAATTCAATATGTGATTTGACTACATAACTATTTGAGTAGCGTAGAACTGGCGAGAATGTTCTATTGAATGGAATAAATCCAAAATAAACTTTATCTTGAAGGCGTAAGGTTGATTTTGACTAACCGTTTTAGTAAATAATATTATTTTAATAACTGTTTTTGTAAATTGAAATAAAATAAGATTTCTACAAGAAAACAATAAAAATTGTACTTACCGATGATACGGAACACCTCCATTTTTACGATTTTTCGGCTGCTATCATTTTTACACGCCAAAACGGAACAAAACGGCATAGTTGAGGAAATATGTATTTGACACGAGACTAGCAACTCGACGCCATGTTCGAACGAGACTGAACTCGAATTTGCCTCGAGTAAGCTGTACACTGCTCAGTTGTGGCACGCGTGCCACGCCTACTTCCTACTTCCATTGTATTCTATATTCCGTGAATATATGTATACTGCATCCGTGCGAATCCGGGGCGGATCGCTAGTTACTAATAAAGTTCAGTGAGTGTTTATTAAAATTATGCATTACTGTATGATTTATCCATAAAACAACACTATGGTTTTATAAAATATTTTTTTTATGTGTATTAAATTACGTTTATTATGTATTATTTATGTAGATACATGGTTTTATATGGCCAGTGGTATAAATAAATAAAAAAAAATGTTCTAGTAAAAAAAACAGTAACTCGCGTTTCTCAATGGCATGAATCTGGATTTTCGCTGGTGACAAGTTCCAAATTCATGCAGCCGCCATCTTAAATTTACATTTAGGTAGACAGCACCATCGGTTTTACCACTCTCGAAAACCAAGAAAACGACACCCATTACGATAAGTTCCAAATTACACGCAGCCGCCATCTTGAATTTACATTTTGACAGCACCATCGTTTTTACCACATTCGAAAACCACTTAAACGACACCCGTGATGATAAGTTGCAAAATTCAGGCAGCCGCCATCTTGAATTTAAATTTTGACAGCACCATCGTTTTTACCACATTCGAAAACCACTTAAACGACACCCGTGATGATAAGTTGCAAAATTCAGGCAGCCGCCATCTTGAATTTAAATTTCCATCGGTTTTACCACACTCGAAAACCAAGCAAAACAACACCCATGACAATACGTTCCAAAGGGCATTGACTAAAATTGGTGCCTTTCTTTTTTCTGGCGGCTGTCGATGATTTATGGAAAATATTATCTAGAATGACATTACAAACGAAATTGTCTATGGGCTCATATATGGAAATCTCAGTCTGGACTGAGTTATGAGGGTTGAAAGGAGCTGGAGTCAAACATTTAACATTGGTTTTTTTATTCAAATTATTCATATTTTTGTCACAATTCCTAACTTCAAATTGCGCGCCACTGTACACCTGGCACAGGCATACCATATCACACCACAATATATACATATTCCCAGGAACTAATTTTTATTAGCTATTTTCTCTCAGTCGATAACTTGTGAGATGCTTCTAAGAGTTGTGTCATGAAGCTTCATGAGTGTCAGCTGTGGTACCAGTGGTGGGTTGAGTAGTGGTAGCCGTCCAAACATCTAATAAAGTATATTTTTTTTGCCGTTGACTCCTGGTGGGAGACTCATCTACTTTATATTTAGCATAATCTTTTGAAAAAAGGAAACCGTCGACTTTGTAAAGTGATGGACTATACGTCAGATGAGCGCACAATTTTTTCATCTAATGTGATCAGTCGTAATATAATTCATCACTTTGTGACTGAATGCAGATTATTGTATTCCCTGTAGTTGGATTAGTTACTAATCGGGAGTAAGTCGGGAGAAGTAGCAAAAAAAATGATTTTTTCGTGTTTTGACGACTGTCGCTACTCAATCCGCTACCGACGCCGCATCGGACAAACATAGCATTTCATGATAGGGCTCAGTAAATTATTTTGCGGGTTTTCGACTGAGAGGAAATTGATCATGAAAATCTGCCATAGGTCATAAACCATAATATATTAAATGAACACGCTAGCCAATTAAGCGAAATGTTTTTTCTATTTACTTCAGCAGAGCCAATAAATGGTTCACTCTGATGGTCTGTAATTCTGAATCAATGGTTCTGATTCCTTGGCCTTATAACGAAAAAAAAAAATGAAAACAAAAAAAAATGAGTAAAAAAGTCCACAACAAGCTTTAATAAATTCCTTGAAATTGGAGGATGATATGGAGCGTGGTGCCTTTTCATTTTTTCGCGGCAGTTGATCGGATGTGGAAAAACTGATGCAGAATAATATTACAAACAAAAAAATATATGGGGTCTTATATCAAAAACACAGTCCAAACCGAGATAAATCAGTTCAAAGATGTGAAAATAGTACTATATTATAATGTTCATGGTGACCGTCCACAACGTATATTTTTCTTCATTTACCATTTACATATTTTGAAATAAATGTTTATAAACGATTTCAAGGAATATAATAAAGCTTTTTGTTTTTTTTTTTTGTTATAAGGCCACTGAATCAGAACAGAGTGAACCATTAACTGACCACTGCTGAAGAAAAAGAAACATTTCGCTTGATTGGGTAGCGTGTTCAATTTATATGTATACAGTTTATGGCCTATGACAGATTTTCATGATCGATTTCCTCTCAGTCAAAAACCCGCAAAATACTTTACTGAACCCTATCATGAAATGCTGTTTGTCAGCTGCGGCGTCGGTAGCGGATTGAATAGCGCTGATCACTTTAAAAGTCGACGGTTTTCTTTCTTCAAAAGATTATGCTAACTATTAAGTAGATGAGTGTCCCACCAGGAGTTAATGGCAAAAAAAAAAATACTTTATTAGATGTTTGGACGGCTACCACTACTCAACCCACCACTGGTACCACAGCTGACGCTCATGAAGCTTCATGACACAACTCCTAGAAGCATCCCACAAGTTATTGACTGAGAGAAAATAGGTAATAAAAATTAGTGCCTGGCAATATGAATATATTGTGGTGTGATATGGTATTCCTGTGCCCGGAGTACAGTGGTGCGCAATTTGAAGTTAGAAATTGTGACAAAACTATGAATAATTTGAATAAAAAACCGAAGTAAAATGTTTGACTCCAGCTCCTTTCAACGCTCATAACTCAGTCCAGACTGAGATTTCCATATATAAGCCCATAGACAATATCGTTTGTAATGTCATTCTAGATAATATTTTACATAAATCATCGACTGCCGCCAGAAAAAAGAAAGGCACCAATTTTAATCAATGCCCTTTCATGCCGCCGCCATCTTTAATTTATATTTTGCCAGTACCATCGGTTTTACCACCCTCGTAAACCACTAAAACGACACCCGTGATGATTAGTTGCAAAATTCAGGCAGCCGCCATCTTGAATTTACATTTTGACAGTACCATCGGTTGTACCACACTCGAAAACCACTAAAACGACATCCGTAATGATAAGTTGCAAAATTCAGGCAGCCGTCATCTTGAACTTACATTTGGACAATACCATTGGTTTTACCACCATTAAAAATGACGAAAGCGATTGCCTTAACGAATTGTTAATAGAGCCGCCATCTTGAATTTTTATTTTGACATCATCATCGGTTTTATTACCCTTGAACACCAAAACAACTTCCATGATAAAAAATTAAAATTGTCGTGCAGCCAACTTCTTAGATATAAGTAATTTCTTATTTAACTCTATTTCTCTATTTCTTGTTGGTAACATTTTTTGTTAATTAGTTTTATTTGTGTTTTTTATATTTAACTTGGAATATTAAAAAATGCTTTAAGGAAATCACAGAAACCTCTGTTATTTTGACTTATTGCACGAATACTCTCTAAATCTAAAAAAGTACGTAAGCCCTAGATTAGGGAAATCCCTAAACTTTGGTAATTTTATCATCAAAACGCGCTTGAAATATGCAGTTTTTTGCTAATTCGCGCTCGGACGGCATTAATGCTCTTAATTAAACTTGAGCATACTAAACCATTTTATTCATTGAGCACATTGAACCATTTTATTACAGATAATTAAGCCTGAGATTGCAGTTCCTTTTATATTTGACAATGAACGTATTGTTGCAGTCGACGTCGAACGCGACCCTCGTAGTCCCGGAGCGCGGGTGGCGGCTCGGTAAGTGCGTGTCGGCGTCCCACATCGTGGGCGGCGCGGGCCGGGCGGCGGGCGGCGGGCTGGCGGCGGGCGGCGGCCCGGCGGCGGGCGGTGCCCCGCGGCCCGCGCTGTGTCGCAGCCAGGGCTCGCTGCACACCGCCGGGTACATACTGCACGCGCACGGGAACACTATCAACATCACCAAGGTACGCACATATCTAAGCAACTGTGGTTAACTGTAGCCTTCAATATTTTTGACATTCTAAGAATTCTACAATCAAAGCGAAGTTATTGATGAATATACATAAAAATTCGTATGCGTAATTGGCTATTTAACTATTGTAACAATGAAATATAAAATATGTTGTTAACGGTAGCTTTTAAGAAAACAATACTTAGACATTATGTTTTTTTTTTCATTAATATCTTTTAATATTTCGGAAAATCATTTTAAATTTTTTTATCTGTGGATGATAATTAATAAAACAAACAAAAACAAAACGTATGACGTCACATTTCAATAAACAAATAGCTCCCTATCTTTGCTCTTGTATTTGTCTCTGAAAATAATACGTATTACTTCTATTCAATTTGTCTCTATTTCAATTTGTGCGTTTTAGAAGTTTTTAAGAAAATAGAGTCAGGCATAGATAAAAGCGGATAGTTAAAATCTACCTAAAGTTGATTCAGTTTTGGTCGCAAACTTTGCATGTAATACTGACTCTGTTCTGCAGAGTTTCGGAAAAACTTTCTTGTAATTGTAACAATAAAATACATCAATTCTATAAAATAAGACTTATCTGATAAAAATATAACTGTAAGGGGTTTTAAATGAAAATACGTTAAATTTACAACATTTCTCCGGAAAATGTCAAGTAGCCAATTCTTGCCACTTTTTACATGATGTCGTTTCGTAATACGCGCTTTTTTGAGGTATGAGGTAACAACGGGCAAGCAATCGAAGTCACCCATGAGCACAGAGGACTCATCATTTATTACGATACAATTACAAAACAACATACTTTAGATTCGAGTGTGAATTTTAGTTACTACGTATCACGCCTTTTATCCCCGAACCGAAGGGGTAGGCAGAGGTGCACTCAGAAGTAACACCCACTTTTCACTATTTATGTTATGAGTCCCATGTAATAGGGGGTGAGCCTATTGCCATATACCGGGCACATTTCCAAACTCCGTACTAAAACTGAGACTTTTACTGAACCTAACCTAACCCCTAATTCCTCTTCTCCAGGTTGATGACATTACCAAATGGTTGGACCCGCCACCCCTCAAGCGAACGTCCCCAGACTCCCACCTCAACAGACTACAGGAACACAAGGCCAGGAAGGTGGAACAACCAGACGACTACCACGAACATCTCCCCGCCTTCCTCCGCAACCAGTCTGTCGAGGAACTAGAATCACACTACAAACTAGAGGTAAATCCGCCATTACCCTTCTGCAGACACATCAGTATCCCCAACAGTTCCACCGTCCCCAACAACGAGGACTCCGACTCCTCAGACGATGATGACCAGATCAGTACTTGGGAACGAAACGTCAAGATCTTTGACCAGATGGAGGTAGACCCCAAAAACGTCATCGCCAACCTCGTGAAGAAAGGAGAGACCTTGCTCTCGAAGAAAGCGAGCTATGACGTAACTGATGTTGTATTGAGGAACCCTGAGTGCATGACTCACGAACGGAAGATACCTGAAGTGGATTACCGAAGGTATAACATTGACTATCTCACTAAAAGCCCCATAATGGCGCAGGGAGTCAAGAATATACCTAAAGCGGTCGAGAAAGACAAGCCGCAGGAAAAGTCGGGGTTCTTCCCTAAGAAGTTGCTGTCACCAAAGTTCAGTAGACTGTTCAAACCGAACACTGCCGAGGTGGTGCGGCACAAGGACGTGGAGGACAAAGACAAATCCAGGAGCAAGTTCTTCGTACAAAGACCAGCTTCTCCTAGCAACATCGGCAGGTCACATAGAATCAGACCGTCAGACACTGACAAACCAATGCTAAACAAAGATGTTCTAAAGTCTGACATTAAACTAGCCAGCATGGGCAAACCAATGACACCAATTTTCCGACGACATTTGGGCGAGAAACCAGACTTCGCAGACGGGAGGTTCAGCTACAGGGACAGGAGATCGAAACCTAACGACGACTCGAAGTTCATAGAGTTAGGACGCAATAGGATAAAAACCCCGCTTAGTACTTTAGAAAGCACGAAATTGACCCCATTGATACGTAGTTCCCATATAAATAATATCGCGGCGTTGACTACAGTGCCTGAAAAGAAAATTGTCGATAAAAAAATAAAATGTGACGACTTGCCTAAGCGTCGGGAGCCAGGGATTTCACGTAGTAATTACGTCAGTCTTGCCAACTTAAAGATCAATGGTAAAGGCAAAGATGTTGATGAGAAATGTAGACAAAGAGACAATGAAGACTCCCCGGTGGAGCGAGTCATGTAGAGTTCTGTCAACCGTTTGTTGTGATGGCGTGATAGTTACTTATGATGCGCGGGCGTAAAGTGGCTGAAGATGGTAATGACTTTTATTTAAGACCTATACTATATATAAGTCGCGGAGAACCTAACGGGTTACTGGGACTCCGGCTCGACGTGCAGGAGAAGGAACGGGGTGGTTTTTAGTCAGTAAGAGTCTGATAATTTTCCCCTCTTAAAAAAAATACTATATATAAGATATATGTATATGACCTATAATATATAAAAGATAGATCTATGAGATCTTTTTCTGAAGAACCCTAAGTTCTTTCCCTAACGATTGCGTTGCCGCTATTAACTCTTCAGTACAGAAATTGGTGGGCTACTGAACCAACCAACCAAATACAAAAGATGTAGATTGGTTAAAAACTTATAATTTAGTCCAATAATAGCTACTGTATTTGTACTGCGTTAATGTTTATTTTAATGCTTATCTGTATCATACATAGCTGTGCCGCAATACTTCTTGTGTTACAAGCTTACTTATGCTACGTCGGCTTTGCTACTACTGAGAGCAATAAACAAAATTGTTCTCTGTCATAGAAGATTTTAAGTTCTTTTCACAAAAACTTCAAGCTCATAATAAAAGTCATTACCACAGCCATATCTACTTTGTGTCCAGCATCGAATACTTGACAAATCTTGCCCCAGTTACACTTGTTATACAGTTGTTATAATTGTTGAATCGTTGTACTTACGAACGCTTTTCTATATGACTTTTGTGATCGCTTCGGAGTGCCGTGTATTGACGGACAAATCGCTTCAAATTTCCACTTTATTCTACTTGAATGATTCGTGTAAAGCTTGTGTTTAGAATAGGGATGGTGACAAGAAATAGTACAATTCAATAGTATTTTTCAAATGTCCAAAATGACAGGTGTCTATGAATTTTGTAGGTACGAAATTCCTTATTATGACGTCACACTTTTTTGCGTCAAATACCATACTTATCTCTAGTTAAAATTAAGCTTAATTTAAATCAATGAGAGTATCGTATATTTTAGACTAAGTCATCATCTCTATAGGTAAAATGGTTGGAAAACTGTCTATTTGTGGCAGTGCCTTCTAATAAGACTGTGTATAGAACCTTATGTTCTGGTAATGTAAGCAAAGTAATACTAAAAAATACCTTTTTTCATTCAGTATAATTGGGATCTTGTAAAAGTATAATTAGTTCGTAAGTTAGGTAATGAAAAATAATTAGACACGTATTTTTTATTTTGTCGTATAATAAAACAATACTTAGATAAAACGAATCAAAATTTCTACGTAAGAAAATGTAGGTACATAGAAGTGACGTCACGCGACATTTCAAATCAATATATCGTCGAAACTATTCGTTTCTGTAAGAAAATAAAAAATACGTGTCTTATGATATCAAATAATCTACCAGACGGACATTGAAATAAAAATTAGGCGTCTACCCTATTGTAAACGAACATGAAGTATATAGAAAAATATCAAATTTAATAGTTACAATATCGAAGATATACAATTAAAACTACCTACCCATTCTGTCCATACAAAACGTTATGAATAACATTTTGATTTTAATTAGATAAAACAATCTTGTGATTGTGACATATTAAAGTTAAGTCTATATTTTTCATACTAATTTAATAAATAAATATCACTTTGCTTACATTACCACCAGCTCAAACAAAAAACATACAATTTTGTATTACAATATTAAAGCCATTCCATTTTATATCGAAAATATTTGTGTACTCATGCATTTATATTCCATGACCATTTTATATAAGAAAAACTATAATTAATAATATATTTTTTGTGTTAATTCAGCTTTTTGGTAGTATATATAGGGTCGATTTTTCAATCAATGGATAATTTATATCTGTACAATAAAATTAACGTTTGAAAATGTTTACATTATTCCCGTGATAAAGTTACCTGACGTTGGAATAATCAGCCCTTAAAGTACCTCGTTGTTCTCCAGCCAAATATAAAAGTGTTGTATATTATTGATATTATATGTACTTCATGATATAATGTCAATTAGTGGGAATTATTGAAATTTCCTAATATATGCTGATTTATATAGTATATACTATTATTATGATATTGTAACTTTGACATTATTTTGCGAGGTTTCGTCCTTCAATTACGTCACTTATGGACCCACAAAACAAATATTCTGTTTGAATATTTATTATTGATATTGTTATAATCGTATATATATTATCATCTTTATATATGAATCCTCGTTGACTGCCTCGTTGGCCGAGTGGTCGTAAGTGCGACTGCCGGGCTAGGGGTCTCGGGTTCGATTCCCGGGTCGGGCAAAGTATTACTGGGTTTTTTCAAATATTCTCAGTAGTAGCACGGAGTCTGGAATTGTGCCCGGTATATGGCAATAGGCTCACCCCCTATTACATGGGACTCATAACATAAATAGTGAAAAGTGGGTGTTACATTGTACAGTGGTATAATGTGCACCTCTGCCTACCCCTTAGGGGATAAAAGGCGTGATGTTATGTTGTTATGTTATGTATATGAATCCAGAACTAGAATTTTTGGATTTCGATAATAGCGTTAAGAACAAGACAAAATTAATAAAATATTGAATGACGTAATTTATGGACAACACCACGAATATTGCTTTTAACTTCCCGAATTTACTACGTATATTGTATAGTATTTAATATATTGAACTCTATTCTCTATTCTATAAGGTGCTTTGTTGAATGTGTTGCGAATTTGAAATCTAGTTTCAAAATTTAAACTTTTGTACTATATAAATTATTATAAAATTGAATCAGTATTTGCTTTAACGTTCAGAGTCGAAATGGACTCTAGCTTGGAGTCTTTAAGATTCAAATTGCAACGCAGTTAGCTTCACGCATTTGTTATAGTGTGTTAAACAGTTATATGGAAATATACACAAGTTGTTTTCTATACATATACGTATGTAGTAGTTATATTTGTAACGTTTTTATATTGTAGACAAAATATTACGATTACTTACTTTAAATTTTTAGGAAAATAATAGAGGTATTTCAGATGTTGGAATTTGATTTTTGGGTCGACCCAACAATCGTTTTACTCGAGTAAAAAAGTTGTGCGTATGTTACAGAGCTCCATGTTAAATAATAATATTCAGTGAAATGTGCTTAAGATTCAGTGCCAATATAAAACCGATAAATATTATGAAAGAGTGTAAATTCTCAATCATTTCTCCATCTCACTGTCTTTATAGAAAGTATAATTATAATGATTTATCGATAGCAAAAATGTTTCAGTAAATTCTGTCCAAGAAGTCCAGTTTAAAAATAGTATTGACAAATACTTTTTATTGTTATACGTTATCTGTGCCATTCATGTGTCAATATTAATGTTTATGGTAAAACAGTACATTTAGTCGACAAAATAAAGTTGATTCGTTTTTATTTTCATAGATCTTCACTCCATCTAAATTAATAAAAATAATAAGGCTTACACACGTGACCTATTCGAGAAATGCTCTACTAGTTTCCAGTCACACGGGGACTCTTATCCTTGAGCAGCATGCTGGGCTTGAAACTAGTACTGTTACTCAAAAAGTTAACGTGAGTAAGTTAATACATTTATGAAAATATCTTGCGTAAGTAGATAAAAGAACTCATCCGAACAAACAAAACCACGACATTAGCATTAAGTTATTTGACAATATAGTAACTGTATTAATTTATTAACATTTTAGACTTAATACGTATTGTAAGCTTTAGTTTATTTCTTAGATTTTGTTCGTGAAGTCTGATTTGTAGTGACACAGGGTGCCATTTTATTGTTTAACGGTAAATAATGCTGTGATTGGACGGGCGAGGATTTATTTCTCCTGTTTTAAAAGCATAACTACACCTTTGCCCATCCCCTTAGGGAATGAAAGGTGCTAAGTGTATGTTTCTGTCTATCCAAAATGTTTGTTTCAAGCTTTTCATTAAAAGTCCAGATTTCCATTGTAAATGGTATTATCTTCTTTGTGGACTAGTGTATTGCCAGTCTCGAAATGTCTCTCGCGATTATTTTAGTCTGGCAATATAAACTATAATGCGAGTTTCAATCACAGCATTGTCTATGAATTAACTTGAATCTGAAAAAAAAATGTCTCATTTTTATTTTATTTTTATTATCTGTGAACGTCCGATATTAGATCGAGCTCATGGTTTCCTTATCTGTGATACATTATGTTTGTAAACGCCGCAATAACAAGTATTATAGGTGTCTTTTAGATTTTATTTCTGAATTTTTAATTTTAATTTTAATATAAAAAAAATTGAACGCCATACTCGTCTTACGATTTTTTGTGAGAATTATTTTGAATAGTTTTTGTCGTCGTGAGAAGTGAATGGTGTTCGACTTATAAATGTTATTGTATTTTTATTTAACACTTATTAACCAATTACTGACGTAACATCGAGTATTCCGTCTCCTGCATTCCAAGCGGTTTTGTAAATTTTCTTTTGTATCTGTTTCTAAGTACAAATGAATAAAGGATTATATTCAGAGTTTGTGTTCATTGTTATTTATCCCCTAATGCTGACATTTCAGTAGATAACAAACACATAACATCATATCACGCCTTTTATCCCCGAAGGGGTAGACAGAGGTGCATTTTACGGCAATTAAAGCCACTGTGCAATGCAACACCCAATTTTCACTATTTATGTTAAAAGTCCCATGTAATAGAGGGTGAGCCTATTTCCATGTACCGGGCACATTTCCAGACTCCGTGCTACTACTGAGAATTATTTCAAAACCCAGTAATACTTTGCCCAACGCGGGAACCATTCGGCGACCATTCGGCCAACGAGGCATTCAGTAAAAAACTTAAATTGCCTTTGCAGAGATAATTTCTAAATTAAAGTAGCAACACGGTTGTATCCTAGATAAATAATCCTGTAGGAAATCTCTTAGAGTATCTTAAAGTGATTCGTTATATTATGATATGAAACTAATCTATTAGTGCGACCACGAGAAAATAAAACAAAGTAAAATGGCATGCCATGGGCTTACTCTTGAATCTAATTCCGATCGATCGACATTGGTATTGTGAGATTTCGCACTCTCGAGTTGCAACACTAGCGCGCATTGCATCCGTATTGCGTTGATATAAAATGAACTAAATAATATTGAGTTCGGCT